CGTGTCGGTTGGGCGGGAATGGAGGGTAAAAAGCCGTTGGGATTAATTAATAAAAAATAAAAAAGTTAAAAATACCAAAAAACAAAAAAAAATAATTTTTTCATTAAATTACGTTTTTTGAAGAAAATTGCATAATTAATGCTACAAAAATTTATATTAAGTAAAAATCGAAATTATATATATATTTTTTTTAAATAGCGTTTACCAAAAATCTGGCTTAAAAATGTTTATAGTAAATACGTCGTAAAAACGCTATTAAAATTATCTTTGAATTGGCATCAATACTTTTCTAATCGGTCAAGTAGTTTTTTATTTATTTATATGATATTAGTCAAATGAACAATATATTCTTACTGACTACTGAACAATTTTACTTAAAGACTAGTTAAAGTAGCTAAGTAAGAGGGTACGGACTGTTGCAAGGGGTAGTGCCGGATCAAGATTTGGAACATTATTTAACTCTAAGAGGGCTCTTGAGAGTGGAGCAAATTTAGCGTAATTATACTTAGAAAACTCCACGTAGAACAATTGAGAATGGCGTAGGTTACGAAAAGGGACATTGAACGTTATTTTTTCTAAAAGGGTTGGGCAGTCAGCGGAGCTGTTCATAACATTTGCAACAAAAGAGCAAGCGAGAAATGCAAACCTATGATATAAGGGCTTTAAAGCCAAAAGCTGACAACGAGATTCGTAAGGTGGTATAGGTTCACTGAAATTCAGTGAGCGAAGAGCCCATTTGATGAAAACCTTTTGGAATTCGCTCTATTCGGCTTATATGCGAGGCAATATATGGTCTCCAAATAAAACAAGCATAGTCCAGTCTTGATCTTACTAGCGATATATAAAGAAACTTCAGTGTGTACGGGTCCGTAAACGCAGAGCTGTTGCGACGGATAAAAGCCAACATGGCATATGATTTCGAAACAATATAATTAATATGGGTTGAGGCTGAGTTTCGTATCGAAGTATACACCCAAGTCCTTAACTTCAGCAACATATTTGAGGGAGACCCCAGAGATATGATACCACGTTGAGATAGGAGTTTGCTTTCCCGTAAAGGAAGAGTAATAACATTTATTTACATTCAAGTTAAGACGATAGCGAGCGCACCAATACACAAGATTATCGAGTTCCGACCGAAGAACAAAGGCGTCTTGCAAGTTTTTTTATTATTGAGTAAATCTTAAGGTCGTCTGCATATAGCAGAAATTTAGAAGTTGCGAAACGAGAGCCGATGTCGTTAATAAATAACGTAAATAACAAAGGTCCTAGGATGCTGCCCTGGGGCACACCTGAAGGTGCAACAAAAGGTCGGGAGGAGACATTATCTAAGGTAACCACACAAAGTCTATTACTCAGATAGGACTTAATCCATTAAAGAAAAGTTGCATGGAAACCTAAAGCCGAAAGTTTGGAAGCTAACACTGTATGTGAAACTCTGTCGAAGGCTTTCGAAAAATCTGTGTAAACACAATCTTCTTGATTCCCTTCACGAAAGGCAGCGAAGCAGTCTTCAGTAAAAACAGCAAGGTTTGTTACTGTTGATCTACCTTTGACAAATCCGTGTTGGTTACAGCAGATAAGACCACTAATTGCGAATGAGAGTTTGACTTTAACAACAGTCTCGAAAATTTTAGTGACCGTGGATAATTTCGAGATAGGTCTATAATTACTTACGTCACTCTTGCTACCGCTTTTATAAATTGGGGTTATAGATGCTCTTTCCAGTCGTCTATAAAAACGGCGGATGTTAAGGACTTATTAAAAATAAGCGTTAGCGGCTCAATCAGGGATGAGCACTTTTTAAAAATAATCGCCGAAAGTCCATCCGCGTCCATTTGTTTGGAGGATTTTAGCGATTCTATGCCTCTACTAACGTCTTCTTTGGTTACAAAAAGCGAACTAAAAGACAGTGACGAGTCGGAAAGGAAACAATCATCGAAAGGTAGATCAGAATCGGACATAAAATTGGCACAAAAAAACTCAGAAAAAAGATTAGCAGCATCAACAAGAGTGGTCGCATGTTTATCGCTGTAGAAGACGGAGGAAGGTATGCCAGAACTTGATTTTTTTAGATTTTATATAACTCCAAAAAACTGTTGGGTTATTTTTGATGTTGGATTTATAGTTTTTAAAGTACCTATCATGTAGACGCTTATCGAGGGCGTTGAAACTCTTACGGTAACGCTGATAACATTGAAGGTACAAAGTGTGCCCGGATTTTTTGAACTTTTTTACTCTTCAGATTTTTCAGAGGTTTCAACTCTTTTGTGTGCCATGGTAATTTATAGGGTTTCCTAGTGAATGTTCCCCACATCCACGCAGAGATCAAAAACACGAGATTTAAATATGGTGAAGGTGTTGGTGGTATCCATTTTAGTAAAGAGCGTGTTCCAATCGATTCTTAGCAATTGTGAGTTAAGTTTATTAAAGTTGCATAGATTATAGTTAAAAATTGGTTGCAAAGTACTAGGCGATGGAGAAAAGAATTCGTAGAATTGGAGTGTATTTAATTACTAAAGGAATATGGTGGGCATTCCGCGGAGAAATTGGTGAATCACATACCTCCAGCTGATGATTTAAGTTGTCACTTAAATAAATTAGGTATAAAAGTCGATTAAAGTCGTTAAAATAATGATTAATTTGGGAAAGGCCAATACCTAAGAGACTATCAGTAACATAAGTATCATTGACATTGCACACATTAACTGGCGTTAACACTGATGAACTACTTAAGTTACTCCAAGAAATATTATTAAGATTAAAATCGCCAAGGACACACATATGGTGATTTTTAACTTCAGAGCTTAGATAAACTAAATTATTAATGTGACATTTATAAATCTCGTCATTACTGTTGGGAGGGATATATGACGCACACTCGAACAGTTGGCCGAAAGAGCCCCGCACAGTAACGCAAAGAAGATCGAGGAGGGAATCGGAATTAATAATATCCCAACGGTTTTTACCCTCCATTCCCGCCCATCCGCACGAGGGGCGCAGTCCGCATGACGTACGGAACCAGTATTTTCAATTTTTGCGCCGAGTCACGATAGGCAGGAGTTTGTTAAGTGTCGAGATCTAAAACTGTTCAGCTACAGAACTAAATTCATCAGCCGATTTTATGTCTTTATTTTAATGATTCATTTATTGAGAGAGGACAGTATCGATTTCTTAATGCTGAAAAGCGGATCTGATATATCAAACGTGCTGGAATGAGAGTTAAAATCCTGGCATAAGCAACGGAGTGGGTCGTGCAATTCAAAATTAGTTTTACAAGCTTTCGGAAATAGGGGGCAAAAGTGTCTTGATACCCGGGAGGGAATATTAAGGCTAACTTCGCCAAGAAGAAGCGGACTTGAAATTGAGCCTGTTAGTAGTTTAACTATAAAAATTTTACCAAGCATTTGCCTGCGGCTGGAAAGTGTAGGAATATTAATAAGTTTTAATCGGCTCGTATTAAGTGGAGTTTTAATCGGCTCGTATAAGGTAAGTAGCTGAACTAAAGATGAGCTGAATTTCCGCTGTACAGCAATTAACACGCCGCCGCCTCTGGAACACCCAGTTTTGATTTCCTCTCTATCTTTCCGGAGAACACTATAAAGGTTTGCATCGAAGAACTCGGAAATGAAGAAGTTGCTAGTTAACCAACTTTCGATAATTACAAAGACGTCATAATCGAGGTGAGAGCTTAATCGATGAACTATCTCTGCTTTGGTCCTCATACCAGATACATTGTGAAAATATATTTTTTAATATATGCGAAAATTTTTTAGCCGCTATGTTTGAGTTGACGGATTTATTTTCCTTTGAAAAGAAAAGAAAAGGACGCACGGTGACGTTAGCGGGCCAGACTTCCGGCAAATGAGTTTTTAGGTACCCCAAGCTTAAAGTTGACACGTTTTAAAAAGTCAGTTGGCGCATCCTTTTTAATAAGCTTTAAAGATGATAGAAGATTATTTTCAATTCCGGAGTGTTTTCCAACATATATCAGTATATATCAATAATATCAACAGAGCTGACAGATGGCTTAAAAGATGATGAATGAAGCCACTTTAATGGAACGGCCACATATTAAACATATAAAAAATAGGAAAGTTGAAGTTTAACCTGTTATATTTTCTTTGTTTTTTACTCGCCCCAAATAATTTGGGTATGGTTGAAATCTGCGTGAAAAGTTCTATCGAACTGCATTTTTGTCTTTTTTGTAGCTAAACGGTCCGTATGGTAGCTAGAATCAACTGTTCGCATGACAAACGAAATCAAAATTGCCAACATGTTGGCAAATACATTTTGATTTTCGAATGCTGTCACATCAGCGGCGAGGGCCGTTTTCATTTGGATGCCATTGATCATGACAACCCGTAGTCATTATTTTGACAACATTTGACGTCAAATATGACCTAATGAAAACCAGGCTTAAGCAAAGCAAAATAGGCGATAATTTGAAATAACCGTGCTCATAAGAAGAAGCTACTGCTTGTAATTGATACGCCTTGCGACCAAGGCTCAGCTCACTGCTCTTGAAAGCAGTGCAGTCGCCACGGATCTTAATTAACGGTATCCCCCAAGCAGCTGGTGAGTGTTTGCCTGAATTATTTGCAAATTTTTGTGAAGCAGCTCAGCACAAACCTCCACCTTTACGTGACGTTTTTCGTCTGCGAAGCGTAAAAGGCAATTGCCCAATTATTGTGAAACTTTTCTCTGCAAATTACCGGATCAAAAACTCAACGAGAAGTAATGACATATGCATCAGAGTTAAGGCGAAATAAACGATTGGCATCGGCGTTTTCCATCCGTTGGAGAATATTTGTGCGGCTAAAGCCTGGCGAAGAGCCCGAATTAGTGATCAGCGGAACTGACGTTAATGCTCTTATCGGCACTAGAACATAAGAACAATTATACTTAAGTATGTATTTGATGTATGTCTTACTATTGTACCAACTGTTAGTTATAATTTATGCCAGAATAGAAAATAAGTTAGATAGATGTTTTTTCTCCTTCTATCTTTGCCGTATTCCCTCTATGTATTATTGGTTTACAGGCTAACCTAATATTCACGCACGCCGCCAATTTACTGTCAAAAATATCTCATGTATTTATTTTTCGGGCCAGTTTTCAAATTATCGTTTTGTTATTTTAGGAGCTCTTTCGGCCGGTAGTTTTAAAACAGCTGACGCAAAGCACAAAAAGACAACAACAGCACTAGCCCAACACTTAATAATTAGCAGACACGCAGCAGACTTCGAAAACACCAAAATGTTAGACGTAGAAAGGAGGGAGAGGACAAGATTAACATTAGAAGTTCTGCGAATACAACAAAGAATACAGGACGCGATGACCTTCAAAGAAGACGTGGATAACATAAATTGCGCATATCGGGCAGCAATTGGACACATTTGACGAGCAGATGAGCGATAACAAACATTAGGCTGTGATATTTTTATTTATAGTTGTTAATTAGTGATGTCAAAGTAAAATATGTAAAAATAATTATTCACCCCTATTATGGTTGTCGCAAGTCGTTCGTATCGACAGTCGTTCGTTGAATTATGTCGTAAATAAAAAACATTAACGACAGATTTTAACACGTTTTCAATACTTCTTCATTTCGAAAGGATAATAGGAATACAAATTTGTTGTAGATTATGTCATTGGTTGCCTCATAACCTCAATGAAAATCTCAAATATCGACGAACGACTGTCGTTCCGACAATCGGAATAGGGGCGATTGTGTCAAATGTGATCAGTGTGACCGTTTTGATCCAAGTGGATCAAAAGTGATACATTTTTCGACGAATTTTGGAGAGATACTTTTTTTCAATTTTGATACTTTTCCAAATAAAAAATAAAAAAAATTTGTAAATTTGTATGCATTTCAAAACATGTCGTGCACCTGTGGTAACATACATCCAAAAGTTCATTGTCGTTCACTGAACGAACCTTTCAAGTATTGGGAATGTGAAGTTGTCACTACTGTCAACCGCAGACATTTCCTTCCTTTTTCCTTTCTACTTTTGAGCGTAATGGACGAACCAGCCCGGCACAAGAATTGTAGCCAGTAAAATCGAGTAAGTATTAAACAATTTTTAATAGAATATACTGTTAAAATTTGCATATTGTTATTATTTTTACTATTTGTGTATATGTTTTGGTGTATAATTAACATTTTGTCTTAAAGGAACACGTGAAAATCCTGCTGCAGACACCGCCATAAGCCACCACGTGCATACATAAACATGGATAGATTTGTGACAGGAATACCACCAAACAGGACTGCTGAACAAGGGGCGAGCTCATTGCTGTCATCTGGGTCTGAAGATGAGTAAGTTTCTGTATTATTGCTAATTTTTTCTTATTTTGTCAAATTCGTTTTGTGTGTTCATAGATATGTGGAGCCGTCGTCATCTCGTGCTCAATATCGGCGTAAGTTTCGTTCACAGTGGTTGGAAATGTTCGTCTGGATTTCTGAGAAGGATGAAAAAGCCTTTTGTGCCATATGCAACAAATCCTTATTCAACATAATAACGCATATAAAGCGGCACGAGACGAGCCCCCTCCATAGAAAAAACTACGCTACTAAGAGGAACCAGACCCATATCGATCAGGCGATGGCTACAGCCAAAGATAACATCCTACAAGAACAGGTAAAAAGTGCAGAATTGAATTTAATTATGTTTGTGTTGCTGCACCACATGCCGGATTTACCCGCAAAGAGCTTCCCCGACTCGAATTTCTTCGGGCATATTGCTAAAAGGGTGGATGAATTTTCCGAGTTTCAAAACTACGTTGGTGTTAAAAATCATAAAATTTTTCGAGTGTCCAACGTTCGCTGGTTATCACTGAAGCAAGTTGTTGATCGTTTACTGTCCCAGTGGAGCGCGTTGCAGTTATTCTTCATATCTTGTTTCGATGACGGTGTGAACCAAGGCACATTAAACAGGTAGTATCAGTAGAGCAAAAACAACATTTGGGTGTATTTTGTTGTTGCTTCTGGTATCGAAAGTGTCAAAAACTGTTCTGAATTTGTTCTTCTAAATCAAAGCGTGCCATGTGAAATACAAAATATTATAAAAAATAAAAAATTGAAATTGGAAAAAATAAAAATTGATGCAACTTTCTTTCCTAGTAAATTTGTTTGCTTCTCGAAGCATTGATCCATCCTTTGCAAGGCCTAGTAATCAGCGGTCGTGCTGCTGAGTTGGGCGAACATACAGATTGCACAAATTATATAACAATTTTGAAAGTAACTATAAACTCAATATAAGTTTTTTTGTCAAACCAAACTGTATGCCAAGTAACCCAGCTGATATAGACGTTTGTAACCCAGATAATCATTTACCTATTAAGGAAGTATATATTACTTGTGCCGCAGAGACATATATATCAACAGCACATTTAAGTGAAGTACAAATTTTAACAATAAAAAAAAAATATTCTGCTGAATACATTGCTATGTTATATTGAACTTTGCTTGCAAATAAAAAAGAGATTTGATTTTAACAGTGAAATTTTGAAAAGCTTTGCATGTTTTGATCCATTATCATATAAAGAAAGTGCTAATTCGACATTTTTAAATGTTTTAAGCAATTTCCCTAACTTGTATAAAGAAAGCGACAGAGAAAAAATTTGTATGCAATGGCAACTTTTGAAATTCGATAATAAAATAGATTGCGTTGAAGACATAGAACAGTTTTTTTTGGGGGGGGAGTAAGCGAGCTAAAAGATGCTTTAAATAACTTTTTATATTTCGAACTAACTTCTTTTATTTTTAACTTGTTATGTTTTCCACACAGCTCTGCCGCTGCAGAGCGCATTTTCTCAGATCTGAATTTGATCAAAACAAATAGAACAAATCGCTTCACTTTGCCAATGGTGGTATGCATAATGTTTTCCAAATGCCTTAAAAACTATTAAAAAAATTTGAATTCTGAGTCCCATAATTACAAAAGTATTTAAACTAAAATTAAGATTATATATAAGACATTTTTGCTATTTTTATTATACTAATACCCAGTTGAACTGATACATGTAAGACATTTTCGTTATTATTATTCTAGTACTGAATTGAACTCTTACATGTAAGACATTTTTGTTATTATTATTATACTAGTACCAAGTACAACTGATACGTGTACCTGTTTGCATTCAATAAATGTTAAATTGTTTTGGAAAATGGTTTTTCATAAAAATTATTGGTTTTATTCCATACTAGCGAATACCCGGCGTGCTTCGCTGCGCCTTAAAAGTAATTTTGTTTTGTTACTCCCTCTCACAACATTTGAAAATATTATTTAATATTGCTGTACATATTTGTATAGTAGGGAGATTTTTTCAAATTATATAAATATACGTTATTTGAATATTGAATCAATACACGTTTGAGGAAAGGGTGCGATAGTAGACTCCAGTTATAAGATTATAAATTAAATTTCCAAGAGAAAGTCGGTTCTTTACATATTTTCTAATTACCTTCGAAAATATATTAACTCAAAAAAAAAATAAACAATGCTTCATAGATCGATTTTTTTAAATCTAACTTCATAAAGTTCTTTAAAAATATTTTGTAAATGAGGCCATAAGAGCTTAGGGGGAGAGTTACAACACAAAAATACATTTAAGGCGCAGCGAAGCACGCCGGGTAATTGCTAGTAATCTTATAACTGGAGTCTACTATCGCACCCTTTCCTCAAACGTGTATTGATTCAATATTCAAATAACGTATATTTATATAATTTGAAAAAATCTCCCTACTATACAAATATGTACAGCAATATTAAATAATATTTTCAAATGTTGTGAGAGGGAGTAACAAAACAAAATTACTTTTAAGGCGCAGCGAAGCACGCCGGGTATTCGCTAGTGTCACATGAAATTAACTGAGCAAAGTACAATGAATAGCTGTTAAACAATGGCACCATCTACTTTAAATGAAACATACTTATTTTCGTGGGGGATACTCACACACCATATACTTTTCTATTGAAATTTTTCCTGAATTTTCCTAGCTATAAACCTCCAACGAATGCAAAACCGTGAAAATCGGTTCGTGCGTTCTGGAGTTATAGCGTCAGGAAGGAAAACCCTACTTATTTTTATATTAATTTTTATATTAAAGAAGATTAAAGAACTGTCCGCATTACTCAATTTTATTTTTCACTAAAACGGTATTCATGAATTTTTTAATTTTTTTTTTATTTGCTTCCGCATACTTTTGACATAACAGCTTTCATTTTATGCCGATATTAAACAAATACA